AGACTGGGCCTATACTTGATCTTCTTCAGCTATGGCTGTTTCTTGGACTGGGAATTTCTTCTCTCCAGAACAATTCTTGACTTCTTCCAGCTTTGGCACAATTTCCTTTGAATTGCTTGTCCACTTGCGCATGTTAAATCCACCTTCTGCCAATCTCGATTTCACCTTCTTACACAAATCCACTGCAGAAGGAACAGAACTTGATCCTGATGCATAGTCATCAACATAAAGAGACTTCAATACTCCCTCCACAAGCTCTGGATCAGTTGCTGCATAGCTGTTCATGTGGTGTCGAAGGGTGGCATCGAGAATGAACGGGCTCGACGTAACACCAAAGATTACTCGAGCAAACCTCATCGGCTTGACCTTTGGACTTTCACCAAAGGGATCATCTACCCACAAGAATCTCAAATAATCACGGTGTTCAGGGCTAACAGAAATGTTCAGGAATGCCTTCTCAATGTCTGCGGTAACTGCTACTCTGTGTACTCGGAAGCGAAGAAGAATGTCAAAGATCAAGGGTGTAAGTGCAGGACCAGCATACAAGCAATCATTCAGACTGGCTCCAGCACTTCTAGCTGATGCGTCGTACACGATTCTTAACTTAGGTAGGTAATGGCAATGTCCTGTGCTCAATGTTTCATTTTCTGGGACATTCTCTATGATTCCATAGGGTATGATTTTTGAGGGGATCAATCCTTAAATAGGGTATCCTTTTTGGTATTGTGTCTTTAGATAGGGTACCTAAATGCCCAGCTAAACGAAAAAGATATGGTCTGTTAAAATTGAACTACACGTTTAAGTATTAACGAAGCGACTTTAAGGCAGAAAAGCTGTTCACACAATTTTGAGTTATCGTTTTTTCCCCCTTAAATAGGGTGTCATTTTACGGTTTCGGGACGGCACACACCTATCCTAAATTGACGGGACTCCCCCCCTCCGGGTGTGTTACGTTAATTTGATTTTTCTCCAAAATTTATAGTATAGAGTATAAACCCCTCTCCCTTCTCTATTATGCCCTCTCCCCCTCCAACTTACTTCTAGGTCGAAAATAGGAAATTAGCAGTCAAGTCTGAACGGGGTAAAGGCTACCTGAAAGTTCAACGTTACTATTCCGACTAAAAAAATAGCCTTTAATTAATTAAGATACAGATCAAAAAGTAGCCGTTAAGCCAGCCATTGCGATAACGGCTTCCTCAAGGTCAGTATATATAGATGAAATGCATACTGACCAACGATTTGTCTGTAAAAAAAGCTCCAGTGTATATAGTGAGCATTGTAATTACGAATTTAGCTATTATCTAAACGCCGGACACATTTGTAGCAATCAGTGTAAAAAATTAGCGGCGGATCATAACACTGAACATGGATAAATACAATCTATTGCCTTGTATCTATATATTACATCTGTATCTGTAAAAAACACTTTGAGACATCTCAACACTTACCGGCATCATATACACATTTGCATGCGCATTGGATAAGAGATTTTTCAGTCACCTATCGCCACAATCTTCACCTGTATTATCTAACTATACTATACTATACTATACTAACAAACTTCTACAAGCTTAGCAATGCTGTTTTCCATATAATTCCATCGTGGCAAATGAACATTTCTTGGGTAGGCAAACGAATGTGAGTCAAATGTTTGCTTCCTTGTGATGCACGCAAACCAAGAAACATTGTTAAATGCTGCAAAAAAACACGCAAAGCAAAATGTTCCTGACAAGTAAAATGTTTTTAACATAATTGCACTCTTTATAAAGTGTAGGTACAATAGTTAACTAACAACAAAGGATCAAGGCATTATGGTATCACCACACAAGGATTCTCCACCTGATACACCCGATACACTTGATCACACCCGATACACCTGATACACTGAGCCAATACACTCGATACAGCCGATACCGACTCGATACACCGGCCTGGTACACTGAGCCGATACACTCGATACACCTGATACACTGAGCCGATATAGCCGATACACTAGATAGACCTGATACACTGAGCCGATACATTCGATACACTCGATACACTGAGCCGATACAGCCGATACACCTGATACGCTGAGCCGATATACACGATACAGCCGATACACCTGATACACTGAGCCAATACACTCGATACAGCCGATACACTAGATACACCTGATACACTGAGCCGATACACTCGATACACTGAGCCAATACACTCGATACAGCCGATACACTGAGCCGTCATACACTCGATACAGCTGATACACTCGATACACCTGATACACTGAGCCGATACACTCGATACAGCCGATATAGCCGATACACCTGATACACTGGGCCGATAGGATCAATACAGCCGATACACCTGATACATTGAGCCGATACACTTGATACAGCCGATACACTCGATACACTGGGCCGATACACCTGATACACTGAGCCGATACACTCAATACAGCCGATACACCTGATACACTAGTACTGTGCCGATACACTCAATACAGCCGATACACCTGATACACTGGGCCGATACACTTTCATACAACCGATACACCCTCGTCTCTCAGACTACTATTATGCGAGCATCTTTGGGACTGGGGAAACTCGACGAATGGGATGCTGGGAACTCTTTGCTCCTTCCCATCATTCACCTCGTCTAAAAAGTCATCACAAAGGGATTAATAAGAATAATTCGCAGAATACCAATCAGCCAATCAGAGAAGACCTTGTTAGAGCTGCGTACTGTTATTTTACAGATCAGAGCAATATAATTGAAAAACCTTGAAGATACTCGAAATTTCATTCTTTTTATATCACTGGAATTTTCAGACGTCAAAAGTAGCCAAATAATGGACATATTAAGAAAGACTAAGGTAAGGTGTGATGCAATTTTGACCGTTTAAAAATAAACAGTGTTCAGCAGTTTACGTCTCTCTGTTGAGCCATGCCACTTTAATTAGTAGTTTCTGTTCACAAGCCGCTTCCTTGATGAACTACCTATTATCAGAAAATGGGATTTCTTGTACCAAAGCCCATGACAAAAGTCTCGGGTATTTGAAGAAAAATATTTTTTTGGAAAGAAATTGAACTTCTCTGTAGCAGCTGTACTGTTAATTGCTTACGTCTTGGCAAAATACGTTTGCTTAAGCGGCAAAAATAAGCTAAATTCAGTTCCATAACAACTTTTCACTGTTACCTTGATTATTTGTTTTGATTTTTTAAGCTCAGGAATCTTTCAAGTAAAATAAAATGAAGTTTACGAGTCAGGAGTTATTTTTTAACCCCCTCTTGTCAATGAATTTGTCTTTGCTCCCATTTCAAACGCAAATTATCTAACAATGCAAACAAAATTACACTTTTCCATTCAAGTCAGACTTACTTTATTGATAAACGGTACTTGCTCTTGTGTTGAAGTTCCTTATAATAACTAAGGACAATGTCAGGAAGGCAAAACTTTCTTCTACTTCTCACAAGTTTCGCAGTTCATCGTTGCACTTTTGACTCGCCGCGTTTCTTAGATTTTCAATCCCACGTCGTGTTTCCCTTTGTGATGAATTAATCTCGGCCGCAAAGTTGAAGTAATACCTAAGCATTTCCATTTGCACATCACGATCGCACTCATACAGCGTCGTTTTCTTTAAAACAAACGATGAACATTCAATGAAAAACAAGCCTGTCGACGCGACGGCCGCCATCTCTCGTTTTCCCGCGTTTATAAAATTCCCTTGATTAAAACAGAATTGTGCGCATGCGCTAGTATTGCACTGCGCATCCTTTCTGCGCATAAAAACATGGCGGCTTTTTCATTATGGCTATGCTCGCCAGAGAGGCAAATGATCGTTTTCTCGTAAACGAGCGTGGTGACCTATCATTTTTTTTTCGCATATTTAAGTCTAGTAATCATCTTCTTTCTATACAAGGAGTATAGACGAATTCTCAGTGCAGGAAAATTAATAATCACTGAAAACGTGAAAAAATACGTGTTTTTGGTTGATTTTGTAAGGAATTAGGAGGTATTTTTAGTCGATTATATCTCTTTCGCGGGGCTGGTGACCTATTCTTTTTATTCTATATTTTGAAACATTACATCACAGTGTTCAACTAGGGAAAGTTTCAGAAACTTCCCAGTGTAACTTCTATTTCGATGGAATGACCTTAAACTAATAATATTTTACACGATCAGGTTATTTTCAAAGAGTGCTTTTATTGTCTTGCACTTTTGTCTTGTCCTGTTGTATCTGTAGGAAGGAGAAGAATCTACGAAGAATGAACACAGCAGTGAATTAAGTTAAACCAGCTTGTGAAAGATAGATCAACAGGAACTGAACTTCTTGTCATCAACTTACCTGGAGCACCAGCAGAGGAAAGCGACTGGCTGCACTGTATCCTCGTCACTCCCCTGGTGGGGTGGGGTAGACAATAGGGGAATAATGACGGAAGTTTTTGCTCGTTATAAATGCACTGAGGTTTTTCGGAGTCGGGGGTTGGAAGTTATTTTTACCCACCTTGCTGTACACGCCAGCTGGTACCCAAATTCTTCGGCTACTGGTGAAAAAGGGACTACCGTAAAAGCTCTATTTAGCCCCCCCCCCCCTCTCTATTAAGCACCCCCCTATCTAATAAGCCCCCCATTGGAAGTCAGATTTTGTAATAAGCCCCCCCCCCCTCCTTCCGTCAGGCTGATGTAAATGACTTTTCAGCAATATTTTCTGGCGTTTCAGTCACTTTGTATTGAAACGTGGTCTTTAATTTCCAGAACTATCGTCGAGTTAGGGTATAAATAACGTTTCCTTTGTAACACGGTCATACATAACCCATTTCTTGTTCTGTTTAAAAAAAAAAGTAAAGTTTGAAAAATTAATGTGAATTTTCTTGAAAATTTATGATTTGAAATAAGCCCCCCCCCCCCCTCTCTATTAAGCCCCCCTCTCTAATAAGCCCCCCCTTCTTGAGGCCTGAAATTAAATAAGCGCCCCGTGGAGTTTTCACGGTAAGTGAGTATTTCCCAAGAACACAACACACTGACCCCGGCCAACACTCGAACCCGGACCTCTCGATCCGGAGTCCAACGCACTAATCATTAGGCCACTGTGAATAGCAATGAGCACGAGCAGGAGATATGCTCCTGGCACGAGGTAATTGTTGACACAGACTTATTGTTCTTTCGTCCAACATTGAGGCTTTGCAACATGCGTTCTAAGAACCGTTATTATTATCATTATTATTAAATTGAAACTGAGAAGATAATATGTATACTACCGGGAAACCGGACGGGAGATGATTTTTTTACTCAGAGTCCAGGAATAGGTAAATAGTTGTCTTCTGATTTACCGTATTTGGTCTGTTATGGGATGCAGAATATCACATGAAATTTAAATTGGAAAGGGTAAGAGAGAAAACCATCTTTCCTCAAAGGTGTAGGACATTTGTAGTGACATCGCCCTTGACTATATTACAGATATGGAGTTCCTGGATGAGCTCACAGAAGGACTGGACCGAGTGCTTATGGTGCGCGGAGGTTGCGCGGAGGAGGACGGAAAGTCATTACCATTTACTCGTGACGTCATTCACTTCTCGTTTGCGTGGAGATGTCGTGTAGTTGGTTCGGAGAAAAAACTAAAGAAAAAGAAATCTCAAAGGCAGTTTATTTTTTTAAAGGTCGTCGTCTGTGAAAATAAGCTGTATATACTTACATTACTTGGAAATGGAAGTTCACAACCATTGTCACTGTGTACTTTGATTTACCGTGATTTACATCATGGTACGGGCATATGTTGGAAGTATTTAAGTTTTAGACTTTTATTTGTTATGGATGAATAAAAATTGGGGTTTAAATTCTAAGTAAATATATTGGCACCAAAGGCGTGCTATTGATTCAGATTGGAACATTCGTTCTTACGTAATATTTCAATAACGAGTGCGACTGTTTTATTGGGTTTCCAACATTGTCCAAACACGAGAAAACAGATGAAAGCACGAAGCCGCATTTTATTGTTTTCGAGTGTTTGGAAACCCAATGAAACACAAAGCACGAGTTTTTGAAATTACTTCTCCAACAAAAAACTGTTACATCATCTTATCCCTCTACGGTCCTCTAATGAGCATTGCTTATTCAGAGAGTCATTAAAAGCTGTTTTTCACAAGTGACATAAGCATAAACACAAGCAACATACACTGACGCATTAACGTGTTGAGTATTAGCACCATTTTGTTCTAACAAAAGGCCCTAATGATCAACATGTTGCTTATATTTATTCTCATGTCCCTTGTGAAAACCAGCCGTAAATGGTCACTGAATTTCATCGTCAGCGAGGCGGAATGCGATCATGTCACCTACATGTTTGGTTATCAAATTCTTTGTTTTCACACAACGATCTGAATTTACCGCGATATTATTTATTTTTCATTTCATTTCATTTCATTTCATTTCATTTCATTTCATTTCATTTCATTTCATTTCATTTCATTTCATTTCATTTCATTTCATTTCATTTCATTTCATTTCATTTCATTTCATGTACAAAGTATTTCCCAAATATTTTATATATTGAATAAAGGAATTTTTTTTTTAAAATATATGTTGGAAAATAATTTGCTACATTTCCTTTCTTTATGTATTTATGCTGAGAGTTTTTGAAGCCTGGGTGAAACAGTTACTTTTTTTATAGTTATACAATTCGTTGTAGAAAAATATGTAGCCTTTAATTTATTTTTAGTTTCGTCAATTTACTCGTCTAGGACGGTCGGGAAATAACAAAATCCGCGATGGTCTGAGATTTTCCCGAAATATGAAAACCAGGCTTAACAAAGATTTACTTGTTTCTATGGCAGAATTTCAGTATTTCTACATTTTCTAGGCTATAACCTTCAGATGTTTCCCCAGTAGTGTCACTTCGAACTTGTGTAATTTGGAAAAAGCCAGTTAATCAGTGCCTGTTGTTTTCAGAGAGACAAAAATGGCCACTTTTTGTGGTTTGTAAAAAGACCAGCTAGGACTTCAGGAAAAGCAACAGCAGCTCATAAATTCGGGTAATAAGATTTCCTTCCCCTAAAAATTATCTGTCACTTAAATATTAAAGTAGGATTTATACAGCTAAAAAATTCGAACAGGTCAAACTATATCCCTTGAATTGAAAAGTGCCCCTAAACGACTTAGGAAAAATAAAAACGACATTCCAGGTCTTAAATTTTGCTTAAATTTTCTCGTTGAGTGCCCCTGTTGTGTTTGCAAACACCATTCTTTTAAAACAACTAGCAGTTTAATGTATGTATATTTTCCTTGGTTCGTACTGATGTAGATCAAGTTGTAAAATGTGTGCTTTTGAGAGGTTCGAGTGTTAACAGTGTCTCTCTCCGACACCGACCCGTTTGTAAGCTCGGCTCTTAGTTTGCTACTCGGTTCTTTCCGGTATAGCAATGGGCATGTAGAACTGAATAGGTATGTAGGTAAGCGCGAAGAGAGTTGGGAAAATGAAAACGCTCGGCCTCACGCTCGGGGTATACCCAGTCATACAAACGTCTCTAAATTTTCCAGTTTTCAACTTCCGTTTTCTCGACTCAGGTAGAGCCTAACCTGCACGAAGCTTCGTACGATTACCAAACAAGAAGTGGTCTTTCAGGTGCTGGTATTGATTTTCCGATCACAGCTTAAAATGAATTTGCAGTGCGGGCCATTTTGGAGAAAGGTCTATTCAATCAGTATAACAAACTAACTGAAGACAAACAACGCTTGCGCAGGTTAAAACTTGTACGGCCGCGTAACAGTATTTAGACTCTGTTCAGTTTAGCAATAAGCAGCCAACCAAATAGTATTTTCTTCTACCTGCATGTGTAACCACAACCACAACCTATAAAAACATATATGAGACAGTCAGCAGGCTTTGTCTCGTGTATACGTCGCTAATTATCTGTATAGATCACCTCATAAAGTTATTCATTCAAGGAAAATTTCCATACGACCAACCAAAAACACAACTCAGGATTATGGATATAAAGTATATATGTTTACCGCTCATGATAACGTACTGTCGTTTGCCGGCACGCACGCGTTGCGGGCTCACATTTTTTTGATACTTACTGTAAGTAACATTCTTTATCTCTCCGATAACATGAAAAATTTAGATTCAAAATCATATGCGTATACCTATGCATTCATTAAATCTGGCGTGATTTTTTATCGGGTTGTAAACTGACTTGTATTGTGCTCACATTATTCAAAACAATAATTAATACTTATCGGATAAGTAAAATACTAAACAGTTAACCCGGGGAACAGTTACATTCAGTTATTGTCATTTTAATGTTTTAATGGCGTATAAAAGAGCACTAGTACTAAATCGAGACTGTTGAAATATATTGAAAGTGGCGTCCGTGTACTAAAACAAATATTTTCATAGATTTGCACTCAAACGAAAAATGGTTGTGAGTAGTATTGAGATCAAATATGTTGCAACTCGACGATGCAACCTTTTAATCGTTTGTCAGCTTTAATTAGTATCTTTCATTTATACGCAGCGTTTACAAGTAGCTTCTGCTCAAACGCAGGAGGGCTAAAAGCAAATAAAGTTGTACTTATCACGACAATTCGCTAATAGCAAAATAAACGAAGAACTTTTAGTAGCTTTTAACGCGAAATACAGTGTATAAAGTAATAATAAAGAACAACAACTGAACAACATAAAACGATAATTATAACTAAGCTAAACCAGTGTTCAAACAGTCTTTTAAAGCAAAAAGGTATTACATGAAATAGATAAAAAAACGGTTTATTATTGATAAATGGGTAATGAGTGTTGTAGGACGTAGTGTGACATTCGTGGAAATAAGGCGGAATTTTTGGAGCAACGGCAGAACATAGCTAGGAGAAACTGAGATTAAAGCCCCATTTACACGACATTCATTTTGGGTCCGGCACTCCTAAATTTTGGCACGCGGGCCGATAGTTTAGGGCACGGCCTGCTTGATTTTTGCCGTGTAAATGCAAAATTGTTGGCACGCGTACCAAAAAATTTAGACGGGCCGAGACCACCTCAGGAGGTAGTCTCGGCCCGCCTAAAAAGAGGCCCGCGTGCCAAAAAGAGATGCATTCTCGTTCCCAGAGCCTTCGATGACACGGAGAAAAAAACTAGGGGCGCCAAAATTCCAATCACACATGCGCAAAAAGTGTGTCCTGACGAGATATGCCTTCATGCCGTAAAAGCTTGGCCTAAAGAGGAATATAAATGGCCTGAAAGACAGAGTAATCAGTCGGATTTCCACTCGTTTGAAGTTATAGATTTTATGATAAGGCTGATAACAACAACGGGTATATAGTAAAACTTGTTTCTTATAGCGAGTATTTTAACCGACGTGACTGATTTGTCTATGCCGTTTAATTTTCCATTTTGGACACCAACTACGGCTTTGTTCGACCCTTGTAATTTGCTTCGTGTACATTACTAAGGAATAGTCATTCATAGCGGTAGCATTATTTTAGCTAGAGGTGATGTATCAGAACATGCGTGTTGATAAATTCACATCATGCGCCATGACCCCTCGGTATTTCAATAATCTGTTCAGTAAAATGCGGTTTTTAGTATTACAATGCCGTTTTCTGCTTATATGGCTTAATTATTAGATCTTCTTTGGCTCGGCTGTATTATGAGATACAGGCTTTTTACACAGTTTTATCAAAAATTCGTTTTTGAACGCTAATTTTTCTCCCTTGTTATTTGCACCCAGAAGCAAATGTCCCTCGTACCACAGCTCTCCGACTTGATTCATTTCAACATGTCAAACCAGGCAAAAGAACAGGGATGATATGTATGCATACCTCTCTCAAGCGCAGAAGGTTAAAAACCGCTCAATATAGCTTGCATAAAGCCCTACTATCGCTGCTTCAATGCCACGGTACAAGTCATGACCTTGCTTAATTGTTTCGTACCTCATTTCTGTCGCATCAAGCCATCAAATTGCTTTAGGCAATCGACATTGAATATCTGACATTTTGATTTTGAACGAATCCGCTAAAAATTGTGTGAGCCACTGCACTGTTAAATAATCTCGGGGACTCACAAATTTAAGAGTGCCGTTCTTATTTTTGGGGTGCCACTC